AGGAAAAATGTCCTGTTTTATAAGTTCCACAGTCCACACTTTTGACGCTTCTTACAGTGCAAATTATGAATGACCATGACCTTGAACCATTGGTATCAAAGTGATACCACATGGTTTGGTAGCCATGTTGGATTCAACGTTTTCACACTCTGTTTGATGTGTTATGTATGGGGACTTATCTCATAATTTTTAGAACCATTTCATGCAGTGGATTCTGTGTTGTATGTTTTAGAAGACAAGTACCTACTAGATAATTGTTTTAACAATGATAAGCCGTTTTTCGATCTCTTTTTAGTTAAGGACATATTCAATTTTGATTTTGATCATTTTTTTAAAAATCAGTTATACTTTAAAGATCATATCTTCTATGGTTCTTCACAGAAAGTATTGAAACTTTACATCAGATTAATGTACCATATATACCTCATGTTCTTGGTTGCATGTCAAGAGGAACTCCGACTTGTGATAATATTTGATTTTAGTAAGTTCCCTTTCCTTCAACCTAAGGAGAAAATGCACTAATGGTAATAAATAAGGGTCCTTATGAACTTGGTTCCATTGTTTTAGTACAAGGTATAACCAAAGTGCGATTTTGTGAATGGACTTCTATGAATGTACACCAGGATCCGCTGCTAAAATTCCGACAGGGAGCCCGCATCGTTGCTTGCAACTATATTTATTCTTTATTATTATTCCAGTGTTTTTGGTTTCAATCATAACTCAAGCACTACAGCTCAGAATCTCTTTACAAAATTAACATCAAGATTCCCAATGTCCTGAAGCAGATACCATAAAAATCCCAAGGCCGTAGGCCCAATGACCAAGGGCAGATAACCAAAAAAAAACAAGTATTTTTTGAAGATTTATGTTGCCCTATTGCTCCCCAACCGCTTGTCCAATTACTTTCAAAATTGGCATATGTCTGCTGCTTTAGGTGCTTGACATTTTTTGTTCTTTGACTTTGGCCATTGGTCACGTGGTTTGGCAGCCATATTGAATTCAAGGTTTTCACAGCGTTTTTTGGGGTACATGTCTTCAAAAGCATAGAACTCTGAATGCACTGAATGAAATGCTTCCAAACTTTCTGAGAATTGTCTCCATACACAACAAATCAAAACTGTAATAGCTGTCATTGGCTATCTTTGGTAGTTGCGGCCAAATTGGATTTGGATTTGGATCATATTTTTTTTCACCAAAATTTTACTTTAAAGATCTTATAAGGTTCTTGACAGAGACCATTGAAAGTTTGCATGAAGTTAGTTTCACATATGTACCTCATTTTTTGTTCTTGGTTGCATGAAAGTAACACTGCTTGGAGGTTATATTTGATTTCAAAATACTGAGAATGAAGCTAGATAAGATTACCCCCCTTGACTGTCGACTACCCTTGAAGATGTGGGTTAGAATTGGTCAACAGCAACCCATGCTTGTCTTAAGAGGCGATTATCGGGATCGGGTGGTCGGGCTCCCTGACTTACTACTTTATTTACCCAAATGACAAATGCTACCGTGCCTTACTTTTGACAGCATTGTTAAAGCAAATGATTTGTGGATTTCTTGTTCGGAAATGGGTTGAGAACACTCAGGTACACTCCAATTTCATAACGGTGATGTCCTGCAAATGGTTAACTATCTTTTGACGGAGTTGGTACAAGCAAACGCTTTGAGGATTCGAACATGAAGATTTGAGGTTGGAGATGGGTTTAGAACAGCTTTGGACACCCGGCATATGCAAATGGCACAGCGGCGATATCCGCAGCCGGTGCCTACATTTGACGGCATTGGTACAAGGAAACCATTTGAGGATTCAAATATGAACAAGGACTGGAATGGGTTACGTACACCCAAGAATGCTCTGGCTCCCGTCAATTTTGTCAAAATGGACTAATGACATATCAAGTAATAAAATACACTATAGCATACTCATGTGCACTGCATTTATAAAGTGGATTCAAGTAGGCTGGAACTAAATGACTTATTGGCATGAGATATATTTTGCTCTGTTGCTCGGAAACCGCTACTCTGATTACTTTCACACTCTACATGTGCCTGCTGCTTTAGGTGCTTGCTATCTTTTATTCTTTAACTCTGGCCATTGGTCACGTGGCTTGGCAGCCATATTGGATTCAGGGTTTTCACAGTGTGTTCTGTGTACACAGGTCTTCAAAAGCATACGACTCTGACTTTCTGAGATTTGTCTCCGTACATAACAGATCAAACGTTGATATCCTTTATGGGATAGTTATTAGTTGCGGCCTTATTTGATTTTGATCCTTATTTCCGCAGAAAGTTTACTTTAAAGATTATATCTTGTAAGGTTCTTCACAGAAACTATTGAAAGTTTACATCAAGTTGTTTTTTTATCATATATACCTCATGTTTTGTTCTTGGTTGCATGCTAAAAGTATCATTGCTTTGTTGCAATGTTTGATTTTAAAATCTGAAAAAATTAAGTTCAAACACTGAAGGATTTAAGAATTTGAATATGGATGAGGATTGACATGGGTTGACAACATACATGGATGCTCAGGGACCCACCAATTTCGTCAAATCAGACAGGTGAAACCTCAAAGACTTCAAAATCAGGAATCTACGAGAAGCCATCAACATCAAAAGACTCCAGCCATCAAACAACCGTGACCAAGGCTATTGCATACCCCAGGCGTACCATCAACTCATCAAAGACCCCAATCAGCCATAATCACATTGTACTGGCTTCATCATTTGTTTATGTCACTGACTTCACCGATGATTGTCATCACTACCCTTGTGTGTACATAACAGGCTTCTCTATAACAATATCTACTCTACTGTATAAACATTGTCTCCTACTTGTATATATACTTGTCAACCATACTCTGTATATCACTTGCTTTATAACGGTGTTAGAACCTACACCGAAATGTCACTCTTAATTGTAATAAAGAAGTTGTTCATCCATAAATGCTTATCCTTACTTAGTACTCCAACTTCTAAATGCCTATCAAAGAAGTAGTCAGTGAAATATCAAATTATTAATTACATTATGCAATACTTATGCGCACTGTATTATAAAGTGGATTCAAGTAGGCTGGAACTAAATGACTCAGTGCTTTTAGAAATCAGAGCCCGACTGCACTGAGCGCAGCTATATTTTTTTATTATTATTCCGGCATTTTTTGTTCCAATCAAACAGAACTACAGCTCAGAATCTCTTCAAAATTTGTACCAAGATTCCCCATGTCCTGAAGCAGATACCACAAAAATGCCAAGGCCATAGGCATTACGCATGGAAACCAGACGCATTATCATGGTTTTATTATATTTAAATCTGTTGTCACAATTCCAACACATTTCTCCTGCTTTTGATCTTTTTTCATCAGTGCTTTATGCACAGAAGTTGGCGAAAATAGGCAAAAACAACTGCGTTGTAGTGTTTTTTATATAAATTTTATTTTTTCATGTACTCGTGATTGTTTCACTTTGTCTTTTTCCTTCTGACAAAATCAACTTGTAAAGCAACATGTTTGTAATGATTTACGCATGGAAATCTATCATGATTTTATGTCTGCTGTTACCATTAAAATTGCTCATAAAAGTGCACATGCCCCCCAACCAGTTGTCTTCATTAACCCGTGCGTGAGCTGTCGTAAAAGGTGACTATGCTTGAAATAAGAGGTGACTAACAGGATTGGGTTGTACATGCCCCCAATTCCAAAACTTTTCTCCTGCTTATTTCACCACCGCATTACGCATGGAAGTTGGCTAAAAACATGTTTTCCGTAAGCATTTGTGATTTTAATGATATCACAATTTTATTAATTCTTTTTTAAATTTGTATATAAATTATATATTTTCATGTACTCACGGTAATCTCCATTCTTCGACTTCTTCCATCCGACAAAATCAGCACGAATAGAGACATTTGTAATGCTTTACACATGGAAATCAATCATGATTTTATATATTTGTTTGTTTATCTGTTGTTTAACGTCGCACTCAGTCATATTCCAGCTATATGACAGCTATATATCTCTTAAGTAGACCATGTCGGCCTTCCAGAAACATCCTTCCATAATAGCACTGAGGGAACAGTTGCTATTAGATCTATGGAGGATGCAACAGCTCTCGTCTCATGAGGATTTGATGTCTGAAGTGGAGGCAATCCACTAAAGTTGTAGGCACAGAAGATTGTAGATCGTAACCAAAAGGAGACCACTGTACAGGAAACCCCTGAGGTAACCATCTGTGAGATGGGGGGATAAACAATCGCTTCATGGATCATCAAAGTGTCAATGACGCTTGCAGGTATATGCATAAAGATTGAACGGGACAGTGAGATCCTGGGGATGAATAATAGAGACCATATTCCAGCTATATGACGGCGGTCTGTAAATAATCGAGCCCCCCCCATCTTTTTCCGCTACGGCTCTACGCATGGAAGTAATCATGGAAATCGGTTTCACTTCGACTTACCCGATTTCTTAATGTTTTATGCAGTAACTAAACTGAGCAAAAACTCTGCGAACCTATTTCTACCACAAGATTGTTGTCACTGTCACAACACATTATAAAATAGGCCCGCAAGCACTTAGCACCACTGGTAACGCAAATATGATTCGCCAGGCATATGTCTTTTACCCTTTTCAACAGGTGGTTCCTTAAAGAACGCGAAAAGCGTCACGTTGGAATTTTATGCTTGCTGTTCATATTTTTAAGCTATGTTTATCTATTGAGGACAGTCAGGATTTTATTATCGATTTCAATTGTGTGGCAGATGATCCATATATAATATGACCCCAGATCATTGTGGATCAAGTCAGTCAAGTCAATACTCTTCCTCAGTATCAATGCATTTGTGTCTCCACTGACATTTGTTTATTTGTGAGCTACTGGGCCATGGCATGTTTGTTATTTTGTGCTCAATAATTGAATTTTGGCAAACAAACGTAAACTGGTATTATGTTTAACTGGATAATTACAACCAACTATTATGTAACAAAACATGCCAAATTACAAACCTCCTCATGAAGTTCAATACTCTGGTCAATAAGGGATTCTCCCAATATCCTCTTAATTTCCTCTTGCTCATGGGAACTAACAAGCTCCTCCACTAGTTGCCATAGTGATAGCGGTGGCTGGTACCCTTGCCTACCAGTTGAAAGTTCAAGAGTTGGAACAGATTTACTGGCCATCTTTCCAGTCACCACGTTCAGATAGATAACTGAAAAGATTAATGAAAGATGATATTCAAATAAAAAATATATATAAAGATACACACACACAAAATTTAATATAATGGCAAAATGTGTCGGTAACAGAAATCTAGTGTAAATCTTGAAATTAACAAAAATACGAATTAAACGCATTAGCATTAATGAAACTTCACATTTATGTTTCTAAATGACCATCAACAATAAGACATCCTAACTGCACACTTTGGATAGCAGACTGACAGACTGATATAGGAGATTTAACGTGCGCTTTCCGACTGTAGCGTATTTCGCACACAGGCCTGGCCGGACCATTTAGTGTATTCCAAAAAGGGTGAAAGTGGTGTGTGCAACCCAAGAGGGGGCTTTAAGGGGTTGCCTATATTGAATTTTTGGAATTTTTAAATTTGGAATAAATTTTTGGTGGGTGGGTGTTTGTATGTTTATTGGATTTTGGATTGGTAGATTAATGAGTTTTTAGATGCGCTTAATTAGATCTGTTTTGATTAGGAATACGCCTAGGGCCTTGAAGTTTTCTAGTTTATTTTGAGGGTTTAGTATTTCATCTAGAGTAGGAACCTTATTTAGATTGAGGGTGGTTTGTAGTGTGGTTCTGTGTGTTTGGTAGTGGGTGCAGTGGATGAGTGCGTGTTCTGTGGTTTCGGGTTGTTTGCAGTGGGGGCAGTTGCCTGTGGTGTGTCTTTTAAGTTTTTTTAGGTGGTTATTTAGGTTCGTGTGTCCTGGTTATTTTTTGTTTGTTTACACTTTTAATTTCTGATTTTGAGGTGGGTAGGTTAAGGCTTATTTCCGGTATTTTGAGAGATAATTTAGCTGCTTTATCGGCGCTTTCGTTGCCGTAAATTCCTACGTGGGTGGGGATCCACAAGAAGGTTATTTGTTTGCCTGCTTTTGTTAGGTCGTTGGAGCTTTTAAGTATTTGGTTTATTTATTTAGGTTGTTTTTTGGTATTTTTGTTTTGGAGGGGTTGTAGTCCACTAAGGGAGTCGGTGAGAATTAGGATTTTATTGTTGTTTTTAGATTGTTGGTTATGCAGGGCTGAGGCCATGCCCACAAGTTCGGCCGTGAATATAGATTGGTTGTTAGGGAGGCGGTAAGATTGTGTGGATATAACTGGTTGTGTGGTATGGACCCCGAAGCCTGTGTGGTTGGAAATCGGGTCTGAAGATCCGTCAGTGTATATGTGACACCAATTTGGCCAATTTTCAATTTGTATGCAAGTGTGGTGGTTTTAGCTATGGTTGGGTCGGTTTGTTTATTTATTTGGTTAGCTAGCGTTGTGTCTATTTTGGGTATTTTGAGTGTAGGGGTGAAGATATTTGATTTTTTGCAGTTTTGTTTAAGATTTTGAGTTTGGTGTTCATTGAGGTAGTTAGTTATTCTTTTGGATATTGGGGTGAGTAAGGGGTGTTTGCGAGCTAGAGCTTGGTTTCTTGGGCTAATGTTTTGGTTAATTAAGTTTTGGATGAGAGGGTTTGTTTTGGACGCAGCCCAAAAATTAAGGCTTAGATGTTCCCTGCGTAGATTTAGTGGCATTTCCCCTGTAAGGGCCTCAAGTGAGGTGTAGGAGGTGCCATGTTGGGTGCGTGTAATTAGTTTAAGGGCTTGGTATTGTATTGAGTCAAGTTTTTTAGTTAGAGAGTTGTTTAGGGTATTGTATATGGCGCAGGCCTAGTCTAGTTTTGATGTAATTAGTGCTGTATAGAGTGAGAGGAGGGTACCTTTGGAGGCTCCCCAGTTAGAGCCGGTGAGACATCTTAGTGTGTTAAGGTCTTTGCTGCATCTAGTTTTTAGGTTTCGGACGTGAGTCTCCCAGGTGAGGTGTTGATCGAAAATGAGTCCTAAGAATTTGGTTTGTTTTTGGAATTTGATTGTTTGGTTGTTTAGCTGGAGGATTGGGTAGGCAATTTTCATGTTTTTATGTTTTAATACTACTCCTGTTGTTTTATCTGAGTTAAGGGAGAAGCCCCATTTGTCTGCCCATTGTTGTATTTTATTTAGAGATTTTTGGATTAAGTTTTCTGCCATTTTAATGCTTTTAGTGCGGATCCATAGGGCTCCGCCATCCGCGAATTTTGAAGTGTTTAGTTTAGGGGATGAGCCCTCGAATGGATAGCGGAAATACCAACTTGAATATAAACACAAACACAGTTTATTGAGCAGCAGTTGTAACAAGTATGTAACCATGTTATTCTAAGAATAGGAATTACACAATAGGCATCCGGTTAGTTATCACTGCTGGGTTTAAGAGTTCTACCCACTCGAATAGTATAGGTAATGGGGGTTCTGCCGCAACTTCACTGGAGCCGGATTTATATACCTATACCGCTAATACAGGGGGAATTTTTTATGCCAAAATGATTATGTGATTCAACGATAGTCATGAGATTAAGTTAAATTGGGTCTAGCTCACCACCACCTGGAGTAATTTTTATAGGTAATGATGGTTCTGCCGCAACCCCACTGGAGCCAGATTTATATACCTATACTGCTACTACAGGGGGGATTTTTTATGCGAAAATGATGATGCGATTCGATGATAGTCATGAGATTGACTCCAGCTCACCAATACCTGGGGCCAATCATTGCTTTAGATGAGCCTAAATGGTAATGAAAATATTCTTTCTTATTTTTATCAATAAAGCGATATTCAACATTTTTATTAAGTTCTTCATTCATTTTACTAGGAGACCAGACTATATAATTACACTCTTCTTGTAACTTGATAAGAAACAATTGATAACCGTATTTGGTTGGTTTGACATCACTGATATAATAAAAACCTTGTGATAATTCTCTCCATTTAATAGCTTTTTCGATTGTTGTCTCCATTATTATATATATTTATGTAAGCATTTGTCTAAATGTGATCTACCGATAGTAAGCAATCTATTTTTAATCTCCAACCAGTTCTTTGGTTTTGGCACGGAATAATTGACGCGCTTGTTGCCTCCCCTGTTCTATGAACTTTGTTTTCTCGTCTTTGCTAATACCACTGGTCTTATGAGATTTTGATCGAATCTCCTGCTTCATTGCGTTGTATTTGGTTCTGACAGCACTAAACGAAACTCATCCTCGGATATCTTACAATCGGCCATTGCTGTCGAAATATGATCCTCAATGCTGTTCAACTTTGCTTCGGCGAGTATCCGAATACTATCTTGTTTTAAAGCTTTCTTTTGCAACCTACGAGAAATGAATTTTATCGCTATTCCTGCCAGTCCCGAGACTCCAGCGGCTATTTCCATGCCGAGCACGATAGGCGCGGCGATTATAGTTGATAGTAAACCGACACCAGCTACACCGAGTCCCATGCCAGCTGCTACAAGCGCGGTGTCAACTCCATCCAGAGCATTCATGGCTCTGCGATACTTTTTATACAATCAAAGTCTCAACTCCCTATCCTTCTCTATTCGATGTTTTATGTCGCTTATTTGATGTAATCGAAATCCATCAACAGTATCCATCTTTTCAAATGCTTCATCGAGCGCTGGATATAAACCCATAGTGTATATTACGATCATATAATAGTCTTTAATTGGTCTTGCTTAAATGTTTTGAGAGTATACATCAACCTTATCAAATGTATATTATACAGCAAGAATATCTTAGTAAGAGAAATACTACCACTTTTAATAATTTGGACCCCCTCGAGGGTTGCAACGGGAGATGCTCCGATATGAATAATACTGCAACGTTGACGCTCGTGTTACTTGAGCCATTTAATCGATAGACCTGGTAATATTTCGAAGGCATCTACCGGTACATCTCCGAACAAGACTTCAATAATAAGAGTAGAAAGCTTAGGTATTGCACTCAAGTTAACTTTAATTTCATTGAATTCAGTAACCAAATTTAAACTAACGTTTTGGATTGTCGGACAACTATATAACATATGACCTGGGTTTTCTGGCAGGGGAGAGACTAACACACTTTTTCGTTTTGATGGGATATAAGCCGCGAGTACGATGCCACTATTTATTATCTTAGTTAAATTATGTGCCTTAACCGTCATCACATAAGGTGGGGTAATGACGATATTCAATTGCCACTCGATGTTTGCTTCGACCATAGTCCATTTATTATCGTCGTTGTGAGTAAGATTGTACGAAGTGTTTTTCTTAAGGAGTCTACTCACAACGTCGACATTGCTTAAATCTTCTAGATTACCCGTGAATGTAACTTCTTTCCGCTTGTATACATTATCGTGTAAGTGTAAAGCGTATAACTTACCATCGGTACCGGGTTTACCAAATCCTTCTGTGTCTCCGAGATCGGAAAGCGCAATTGTATTACATTGTCTGAGCGTTGTCTGGGCCTGATGCATCAACCATTATTTATAATATGGAGTGTTACACTTAAGTATCCTATATGTACAGGTTGGTGTTTTACAACTAATACAGAAATTTTGAGGTCTGAAATAATACCCCGCTTCAATTTTTTATATTGTAATGTTGAGAAAGATTCCGTTCTACCGCTATTATATTTTTCATTTTTCACTGTAATAGATCTGAGCAGAGTTGAAGGACTTTCTAGTTGAATATTATCCGTCGTGCTTATTTGATCAAGATGGATACACAACTCTTTATAGAGAACTAAATCGGGCAATGTCTCTCCATCAAATGTTGACCTGTATATTGATAAAATTCTGCGTACAAATCCAAGTGTAGCTGATAAGTTCCCTAAAATCAGTACACCTTTTTCTCCAGTGTTGATTTTCACTGTCCCATTCAACTCATCTTGTGTTAGACTAATTCCATTAGGCTTAAAAATTTCATCATTGAGTGAGCATACGCTGTAATACCCATCAGGTATAATAATGAACTTTTCAATCATATTTTTTTCATCTAATATATACATCTCATTATTTCTTTTTGCAGCATTTATATTGGTCCACCGCGGGTAATACGTTACATCACATAGGGCGACTTCGAGTTGTCCAGCCGAGTTATCGATAGTACGAAGCAGTTGAATAGACTGACCATTTGTTATT